AAAAACATTTTAGCTGGAAGCTCATTTATTGTTTTTTAAGAACATTCAAAGAACATTCAAAAGTAAATTGATAACAATGATAAACAATAAAATAATGTCACCATAACATTTCATTTTTACAACATTTTAAAACTGGACATCTTTAATATTCAGAGAACAGAAAAAACAACATTTTCATAACTTAGTGGGGATGTTAGCAAAACTTTAAAAAAAATATCACTGGAAAATATTATGTCAAAGTATGACTAAATAAAACAATCTGTTTTTCATCAAAACATCCTGCAGGAGAGGAGTCATTTATTGTCAAAACAGCATAAAGGGTGTGCTATTATTGAATCAGTGGGATGTTCTATAATTCATGGAAAGAGCATGGTTGCATGTGTTCAGAATAGCATTCGTATTATATTGCATATGCAGTGTGAACACTGTGCACAGTATGCAAATATTCGGCATACATGGACCAGATTTGCCTGAATGTGCAGTAAGGAACAATCACTGTAAGGAATACTATATTCCACAATGCAACATCCTTGGCTTGACCTTTAACCATGTTACATGAGTTTGAAAAATCATTAATTATCAATATAATTAATAATACCACCATTTCTCTTCTTCTTTCTTCAGACAATCTGCTGTAACTCTCCTGTCCTTTGGGGGCGCTGCAGGGGAACCCAACTCTTGGTGATTACCTTTCTAAAACCTTTCCCTTGAGCAAGACACCATATAAAAAGAACTACACTAAAATAATGATGCTACAATATACGTGGTCTTGTAACCTAGAAAAGACAGGAGAAACCAGAAACCAAATTTCCACACTGGGATGAGTTTCTTGATTCAGTTTTTGCATAGATGCTTCATGTCATCTAATGTAAATACTGTGGCCGTCGATCAAATGGGTTTGTGAATCAAGTTACTTTGACAGTGCAAATTCCCAGACACAGGCAAAGATCTGTATGTTAATGTGTAGAGGCTAGTAAACCATCTCTCATATATAGACTGGGGAAAAGACAAAAGGACAAAAATTGTGTCAGAACGTGTTATGTGCAAACAAAAGAACACTTACTCTTACTGAGAATTATAGGGACAATGACATATAGGAACACGATAAGGAATTTTGTTTAGAATATAGTTTAAAACACATGCTAAGTTCTGTGGTAAGAATTGTACTCTTTTATTGATGCCGTTTTATATACTTTTGAAAAATTATACCAAGAAAAGTTTCAAATTTAATTAACATAATGTGGTGTAACCATCAAGTAAAAAGATAATGTTTAAACATTTCCTTTAATACATGACACATCTTGATCATAATTAAAAAATATATATATATATACAGTGCCGCCCACTAATATTGGCACCCTTGGTAAATATGAGCAAAGACGGCTGTTAAAATAAATCTGCATCATTTATCTTTTTGACCTTTCATTCAAAAAATTCACAAAATTCTAAACTTTAATTGAAATAAAACAATTGAAAGTGGGGGGAAACTCACATTATGAAATAAATGTTTTTCTCCAATGCATGATAGAAATTTTTATGAGTAAAATATCTCTGAAGTATATTCATTCATATTTACTATTTTTCTATTTTGTAGCACACCAGGGTGACTGAAATTGTCCAGCCATGACTTCCTGTTCCACAGGATTATAAATATGAGGAACACAAATGCCAAATTCCCTTAATCATCCATCAGAAGGAGTAAAACCACACAATATACAGTGGGTACGGAAAGTATTCAGACCCCCTTAAATTTTTCACTCTTTGTTATATTGCAGTCATTTGCTAAAATCATTTAAGTTAATTTTTTTTCCTCATTAATGTACACACAGCACCCCATATTGACAGAAAAACACAGAATTGTTGACATTTTTGCAGATTTATTAAAAAAGAAAGGATCCTCTGCTTGCAGATCCTCTCCAGTTCTGTCAGGTTGGATGGTAAACGTTGGTGGACAACCATTTTAACCATTTTTCAGAGATGCTCAATTGGGTTTAAGTCAGGGCTCTGGCTGGGCCATTCAAGAACAGTCACAGAGTTGTTGTGAAGCCACTCCTTCGTTATTTTAGCTGTGTGCTTAGGGTCATTGTCTTGTTGCAACGTAAACCTTCGGCCCAGTCTTACGTCCTGAG